GGCTCCATCCTGTCCCACCTCTTGTGAGGTGGTATAAAGACCAACAACTGATGTCCCTCTGCCCAGTGGTTTTTGAACCCCTTTTTTGTGTTTTGGGGATGTTTTGAGCCCACTCAGAGGCCAGGGTCCCATGGAGTGGGATCTGAGTTGCACATGGGCTTCACCACGCTCAGTGCAATCCCTGGGCTGAAAGTGGGTGAGATCCTTTTTTGGGGTGTTTCAATCCACACAAACTGGTAAAATCTCTCCTGTACATGGGCATTTCCCTCTATTTTCATTCCCTGAGGTAGGAAGAACAACCAAGAGCTGGAAAAACATCCCCAGCTGATCAACACTTTTGTACTTCGTTCATCCGCGCACTCTCCTTCCCCTTTGGAGGCTCCAAAATCTCTGGGGATGGGTGGGATAAGTCAACCTGGCAAAGCCCACCATGTCCCAAAGGTTGTAGATCTTGCCATCAACCTCAGAGGAAGGAGGAAGCACTGCCCAGACTACCTGAACCTGCACCTCCACTCAGGACTCCTCCACATCTGGCCAGGCCCCCCCCCAGCTGCAGGGGTTGATGTGGAGATTTGTGCCATTCCTGAGCAGTGGGGAAAGGTTCCTTTTTTTTTTCACATAAAAATGATGACTCATTGACTCAAAGCCTTTTGTTGTTGTTGCAGTTGTGGGAAACATTGTTTTGATTAATGTCTTGACTTGGGAATGGAGATGAGGAAAAAAAGGTTTGAAGTTATCAAAGCATCCCGTCGAGAAAACAAAATCGCTTCTGTTTCAAATGTTAATTTGGTTGAGAAAAGGCTTTTTAAAAGGTTAAAACTGAGTTAAATGTTTGGCTGAAGAGCAACACTCATTCAAATATTCAAACTGCAAATTGTTTTGGTGTCCCAAATTCTTCATTTACTCTAATTCCAGAGTGGGAAAACAACCAACCAACCAACCTCACCAACAGCCTCCAGAGGTGGGAAAGCTGTTGCATAGATTCCCAGACTGGTTTGGGTTGGAAGGAACCTTGCAGCTCATCTTGTTCCACCCCCTGCCATGGGCAGGGGCACCTTCCACTCTCCCAGGTTGCTCCAAGCCCCGTCCAACCTGGCCTTGGAGACTCCCAGGGATGGGGCAGCCACAGCTTCTCTGGGCAACCTGTGCCAGGGCCTCCCCACCCTCCCAGGGAAGAATTTCTTCCCAATATCCAATCTAAACCATTCCCCCTTGTTTCCAGACCATAAATTGCCTTTAAAAAAAGGATAACAGGGTCAGCTCCGTGGAGGTGCCTTGGACGTGGTTTTTATCCAAGGATGGTCCCAGAGCCTCTGTGTTGATGGAGCTGCACATCTCAAGGGTGGGACAAGTGGGAAGTGCTGGGTGCTCCTTGTTCCCTGTTCATGGCCCAGTGTCTTTGGTCTTTTCACTGGAGGATGAAGAAGGAATTTGCAACCAGAGTCTTACCAGGAGGAGGACCAAGAGGACCACGAGAATGTTTCATACACTGGTCAGGGAGAAAGGGAAGAGTGAAGAGAACTTGGCGCATTTAAAACCATTCTTGCCAATTTGGAAAACCCCCAGTCCTGGTGAAAACCACTTAAATCTCCAGGAGGAAAATGCCCAGAGTTCTTTTCAGCAGCTGAGCACATTCCCAAAGGGGGCTTGAGAGAGAGCCCTGGGGAGACATGGAGATGGGGAACAAGGTGGCCATGGGACACATCAAGGAAGGATCCAGAAGGCCCCATTTCTGCAGCCCCAGTGGCAGTAATTGCTCCAAGCCATTCCCGGTGGGAAGGGTTGGGAAACACCGCAGTGATGCTGAGGCAGGAGGAGACACGTGGCCACTCAGCAGCTTCTCAGGGACGTGCTGTTCTCCCACACACCGCAAATAGAAATAAAACAAGCCCACTGCTGGGATGGGGTTTGTCCCTGGAGGGGTTTCCTGGTTCCTGCAGTGAGCTCCCAGATGGTTCCAGAGCACTGGGATTAGGTGAATAACCCCCTCGTGTCTGGGCTGGATGCTGCACTGGGAGCTGGGAGATGGCCCACGGTCACATGCTGGTTTAATGTCAGATGCTGTTTTCCTGTTTTCCAGGTGGAGATCAGAGCCCAGGGAGCTGCAGACCAGAGGAAAGAGAATTTGCTGATCGTTTTTTTGGCTATCGGAAATTCGAGTGAAATTCCGCCGAGGTTTTGCACCAGGTGGAGGCAGTGGAGGAGAGGGGAGGAGAGTTGAACCATGTTCTCGTGTATCCTGAAGTGGGAATGCGTCCCTTTCTGAACTTCCCTGGTTTTGGAAGGGGAGAAAGGCTTGTAGATTTGTTCCTTATGGAGATATAAATCAGTTTTTCCCCTGGGGTTCCCTTGTCCCTGCCCCAGAGCAGACAGGAACGTTCCCTTCCATCCCCATGGCATCTCCCACCCTCCCTCTGCCGCATTCCCAGCTCCCCCTCTCCGTGGTGCTGCTTCCTGAGCCGGAGGTTCATCCTCCCGAAGTTCAGCTCAGACATCTTGGAGCTATTTAAATATTTACAGCAGACGGTGGTAAAAAAGATTGAGCCATGAATTATTCACAGCTTCGCTTTTATCTTGGCAGGGGCTGTTGTGTTCAGCGGGGAGGATTCCTCTGACAGGGACGGGCCGGGAATGTGGGGAGGGAGGGAGAGTCTTGGGTCGTCCAGGGGAAGCAGTGGCCGCAGTCTGGGCACGGGGAGATGAACCTGGCACCGATACCGGGGGGATTTTTCCCTCCTGCCGTGTCTGAGTGGGGCATGGGAGGACACGCGGGGGCCCCACGGACGTTCTGGAGCACGTCAGAACCCCCGAGGATGGATGGAAATCCTGCCCCAGGCTCGGCCCTCAGCCCGCGTGTCCCTGGGCAAGGAGGGGATGTCAAAGGGGTTATATCCCACCTTGGGCACCAGGTGGTCTTTTAACCCACCTGTGTGACTTGAAAGGGACCGATTTCCCACAGGGAAGGCTGTTCTTGGGAATGTGCTGCAAATCCCTCCATACTCCTGCTCATTCCCAAGCAGTTTTCCTCAGGGATGCTTGCAGAAAGCATAACACAACCCCCTGAAGACAGTTTTTCTGGGGTCTCAAGGGCTTCAATCACACCCTCGAGGCAGAAATAAGTGTTTCAAACCTCTTCTGCAAAATAGGGCTGGAAAATCCTCTTTGCCTTTCTGTACCTGGCAGCTTCTCCCTATCAGGACTGACTCCCACCAGCCTGCAGAGGAATTTGACACCATTTTGGATCTAAAGAGGAGCAGGTGACAAAAAATTCAGATTTTTTTGGAGGGGAGGAGTGGGGATGAAACACGTCTGAAAAGAAAACCCACAGTTCTGTGTCTCCTCTCCCTGGGATTAGGGCTCGTTCTTAAAATAGTGGTATCTTGTTTGCATCGAAATAGCCGCGGGGCTGGAGCAGCCTCACCAGTACGGCCGTGGGGAAGAACCCCGGAGCCTCCTGCTGGCCCCGCATCCCAGAAATTCCCAGGGCAGAGGGAGGGAAGGCAGCGCCCGTCTCGCCGCGCCGTCACTGCTGTGCTTTGGAAGGCGCAAGACATCCCCGTCCCTCGGCTGCGCGGATTCCCGAGCACATCCCCGTCCCTCGGCTGCGCGGATTCCCGCAGCACATCCCCGTCCCGCGGCTCCCCTGACTCCCGCCGCGGGAGGATTCCTTCCCCTCCAGCTTCCCAGGCTGTCGCTCGTTCCTCGCCGGCGGCGGGAGGCGTGGAATGAGACTGCTGGATTTGCAGCTCTGTCTCCTTCGCCATCCCCGGCGAGAGCACAATTCAAAAGGGGTTTCAGAGCTCCCGCGGCCCCGCGGAGGCTGCGAATCCCTCCTGGAGCAGCACGAGGAGGAGTGGGAAGCCGGGAAGCAGCTCATGGTGCAGCACAGAGCAGGACTGAGCCCCACGGGGCTGCCAGGGCGGTTGAGCAGCTGCTCTCTACCCATGCCAAGCTCCAAGAGGCATTTTCCCATTATCCATCCTAAAAACTCCCTTCCTAAGTGTGGGATCCAGCCGGACTTGCTGGGACACCCCATGTGTGTATCCCACATGTGTCTCCATGGGCATTTGGTCCCTCCACTCCACAGATGCAGTTGGGTTTTTGCCCCCTTTTGGCCCTGGGCTCAGCTCCCCCCTGTGCTGGGAGAACCATCCCTCCATGCCTCAGTTTTCCAATGCCCAAAACAGCCACAAGCCAAAGATCTGGGGGATTAGGTTTGTAACTGATGATTTTTTAGCTTTTCTTGGGAAACTGTTTCCTAGCAGAACCCCCGCCCCCCCTTCCCCCCGGAGGAAATTAAAGGCAGCATTTGGATGCCTGCATCCCAAAATCTGTGGGTTCTTATGGAGCAGCACCAGTTCCATGCCTGGTGAGCACCATTAGCCTGCAAACAGAGGATTCCCTGGATTTCTGTAGATGGAAAAAGCTGAATTTCCCTGTTTGTGCATGAGTGGGCACGTACCACCTCTGGGGCTTCCCTAAGAATATGTTCAACCATAATAACAAAAAAAATGGAATGATTCTGCAGAATTAATCCCACAGGTGTCCCAGTGAGGGCTGTGTCATGCCAGTGAGGTGGGAGAGAGGGATCGTTCCCACTTAGTGAATGGAGAAATCAGGTGCCAGGAGTTGATCAGAGGAGGAGAGAAATTCCAAAGGTTACACCGAGGGTTTGCTCAGCTTCATAATTAAGGGCTCTCCCTTCCCTGGGAAAGACCCGTAATTATTTCTTTGCTCCCAGAGGAGAATTAGTCATTCCTGGCTCCAAGAAATATAGTTCTTATTTTGACCTTTTATTCCAGCGAGGATGGGGGGAGCCCAGGCCAAGGGCTATCTCTGTCCCTGTGCCCAAACCAGAGGCAGATCCAGTTTGATGTGGGATTTCAAGAGGAACTCCCACTGTGAACCCCCAGAGCCAACCTCTGCCTTCCCAGATTTCAGGAATTTATCACAGTTGGGGGAACAACTCTAATATTTTGCTTAAAAGTTTTTTCCAAGAGGTCCCTCAGAGTTGGGAGGATGGTGGCAAGTTGCAGGGCTGAGTCAGGACATGGGCTGCCAAGGGGCAACTAATGTTGGAAAGGATAAAAAGGAGTGTTTCTCCCTAATCCCAGCAGGATTATTTCCCAGGGCGCTATTTCCCACTTGGGAATTGCACGTGGAGGCTCCCCCAGTTCAGCTCTCCAAGGAGTGCAGGACATCTCGCTGCTCTGTGGGTGCAAACAGAGGTTTGTCTGCCCCTGGCTTCTCAAGAAGGACCATGGAGAAGGACAGGGATGGGGGTGATACCTCCAGACTTTTCCCATGTCACATCTCCAGGGATGTGTGCCTTGGGGACTGTGCTGCAGAGCCCTACTGGATTCTGCAGGAATTTGTCTCTGCTTGGCATCTGTGGGACAGAGAGGATGGGCCAACCCTCAGTGATGGTCCAGCATCTCCAGAGATGATCCTGCATCTTCATGGATGGTCCAGCATCTCCATCACTGCTTTTCACCCTCTTAGGGAAACAGTGGGGAATGGGAAGGGAGGAGGCTGCAGTCAGCCCTGGATCTGGGCTCACACAGGATGCCCGGCACCTTCACCTCTTCCTTCCTATTCCCTATCCATTCCTAGATTTTCACACAGATTGTCTGGTCCCAACCACCAGGAAAAACGGCTGATTTGCATTCTCAGAGAATTTGGAGCCTCCCAAGGCTGCGGGTTAGTTGGGCACCTAAGGAATGATAATCTGGTGAGCAGCTCCACCTGCCTGAGGTTGGGGAAGGACGTCTGGCAAAGGGAAACCAGTTTAGGACCATCCCCGGTCTGCTGGTGTTACTGGGACAGCCAGGTATGTAGTGATCTCGAATTTGAGCAGGTGAGTGGGGCCACGAAGAGTGTAAGGGAGGGATGGGTTGAGTTTAGATCCTTAGGCAGGAATAAGCCCCAGGATGTGGCTGTCGGAGGGAGCGGATCTGCATTTCACAGGCAGCGGTGCCGGGGATGTTGTGACAGTTTTCTGGCAGCTCCTGTCTCATCCTCCTCCCCTGTGGGATCCCGAGAGGGGGAAGAGAGGTTGTTAATGGGAGGGATGAGCCGAGGTGGGTTTCTGTGGGTTGGTTTGTTTTACAGCAGCAAATTTTCCCAGCTCTTTTCCGGGTGGGAAGGAGGGGGGTGGGGGTGGTGATTCCTGCTGGGCTGGCAGGAGCAGGAGAATGGATGGGGGGGGGGTGGAGGGGAAGTTTTGGGCTCCCCAGGAGCCACCTGGAGTTAGGAAAAAATGCTGATTTTTTTTCTTTTTTTCAAACATTTGTTTTAAATATTTTGCCCCTGGGAAGCTGTGAGGTGACAGATATTTCAGTGTCCAAGAACCCCTGATGATTCTATCCGTGTTTAAGTGCAATCTCTCCCAGCCCAAGGGAGTTGCTTGGTGCTGAGTGGGTGTTTTTTCTCATTTCTATGCCAAACAGGGTAAATGTTCCAGAGGGCTCTTGTCCCCCCTTAAATTCCAGGACCATCACTGCAGGTTTGCACAAGCTGAGGAGCCACAGGAGGTTTTAAACATCAGGAAAAGGGAAGGAATGGCTGAAGGAAGGAGAAGGGGCTCCTGCCTGTCAGGTCTTTTCCCATCATTTCTGCTTGGTCAAGCACGGCTGCAGAGGGAGCTGATGAAGTGGGATGTGACAGGTCATCACGTGGATCTGCCAAGCTCTGAGAGCTCTCTCGGGTTTTGGATTGCAAGGGTTGAGCTTTGGGGAAAGAAAACGGCATTTAAGGGGAATGCTGGGAGGGCTCATCTCCACCAAGACCCTTCCTGGATGGGCTCTTTGCCCTTTGTGTCCTCCCTCCATCACAGGAGTGAGGGTTACTGAGCCTGCTGGAGCTCCAAACCAGCAGGAAAGTGAGGGGTTTGCAGGAATTTGAAGTGGAAACAGGTCCTTCCCGGTTCCTGCAGCATCCAAACATTGGTGTCCATCACCAAGAGGCCCTTTTCCCCCTGCCCCAGAGGAGTGGGACCGAGAAAACACTTGTTTGTGGACAATCCTGGCTCTTCATCCTGTGGTGAATGTTTTTTAGAGGGAGATGTACAGATTGGAGGTTCAGCACATGAAACATGAAATTCAATCTCTCATTGCAACATCTGAGAGCTGGTGCCGAATCCATGGGGTGTTTTGCTCCTAGATCCCTAATTTGGTGATTTTTGGTAGCAAGAAAGTCCCACCCAATATTCCCACCTTCACCTTCCTCCCCAGAGCAAGGAGCAGCAGCAGGACCCCGGGTCATGAGTGGGGCCTGGCAGATTCCCACTTAAATCCTCAGCTTTGTAATTCCAGGCCAGGAATTCTCCTGGCAGCCTGTGCCAGCCCCTCTGCTGTGGGCAAGTCTCACCTTTGGGGTCAGATGACCTCAGTTTGGGGTTAGGAAAGTATGTCAAGACACAGGGAACAGCTTGAATACTTGTTCCTGTGTAGTTATATGATATTTGTATGCATATTAATATCATATTTAAATTTATATTGGTATGTAGGTGTTTCCATTCTGGTTTTTTCTCTACCTGAGTGCAGGAAGAGGAATATTCAGTCCATGCACACCCTTTATCTCCTTCCTAGGAGTGGTGGCACCAACTGAAGCAGCTCCCTTCTCACCTTTCCAAGGCCCAGTAAATCCTATTTTATTAGAGGTGAAAATATGGCTCCAGACTCAGTTTTCATTGGAACTCATCCCCTCTCCCTCCCAGCAGCCCAGCCCTGCTGCAGCTGATGTTCTCCTCGAGCATCTCTGCACCCACAGCTCGATGGAGGAGCCTCGACCCCCCTCAGATCCTGCTGTGTGTGTGTTGAAATGGGTGATTTTTAAGAGCAGAGATGGAACTCGAGCCCTCTCTATCCCTCTTGGTGCATTCCTAAATAAAGCACAGGCGCCACTGTCCTCTTCTGGCAGGAGCTGTCATACCACAGCCACTTGCCAAGACCTGCAGGGCCCTTTTTTGGGGTGAATTAGCCATGTTCCCTCCCTCCCCCCTGCAGAGAACGGGATGTGGGGACCCCGATTCCTCAGCAGCACGGTCCTGGATTTGGGGCTGGATGCAACCAGTGGATCCTGGAGACTCTGGGTTGTCCCAAATCCTGGTGAGATTTAAATCAATGTGTTGTGCTGTAAAAATCCTCCTGGATGAAGCTGCTGTATTTCCATCCCCCAGACAGGGGCACTGTTGGATTTAATGCCTGGTATTTTGATCTTTTTTTGAGCTATTTTGATCTTTTTTTGTGGTTTACTGTCCACTAAAGCTTCTCCAGAAGGGGCACACTTTCCCTGCAAGGTGAATTTAAGATTACTGACTGTAACTTTAATTTTCTTGGTCATTTTTTCAGTCACCCGTGGCCGACAAGACCCAGTAACCAAAGAGCAGACAGAGACTGCTGCTTTGGAGACACCAGCAAGCTCTTCTGGCTGTTCCAAGGCTTCAGCTGCTGCAGGAGCATGATTTGGAGGCTCAGCTGAAGGAACCTGAACAGGCAGAGCTGCTCCCTCAGGCTGTGGATGGAAAGAGGAGTGAAGGGAACAAACCTGCACCTCCCTCACCCCGTGTGAGGGATGTTTTGGCAGCTCAACCCTCTCGTGCCTCAGTTTCCCCACCTATAATCTCACTTTGGAAAGGGTTCTGAGACGATGAAGTGATGCTGTGCTTGGCCTTGTGGCTCCATAAAGCAGGAATGTCCACTTGGGATGGATGTTGGCTCATCCTTGTCTCCTGCACCTCCCAGGAGGAGCTTCCCCTCCCCTGAGCCTGGTTACAGCCACCCCCTTGCCTCCCTCCTGGCTGTCCCCAGCATGTGCAGAGAGAAGAAAGGACCTAATTTCCCACTTTCCTCCCCCTCCTCCATATTTCCTTGGTTTCCAGGGGCTCCGAAGGGGAAGAATTTCATTATGACCTTGCTTCAGCCTTTTATTTTCCTTCTGTATGGTTTTGCTTCCCCCATTATCTGAAGAGAAACCATCTCCCTCTCCTTTCCTTCAGCCCAGAGAACCTGTGGATGCCTCATTCCTGGAAGAGTCCAAGGCCAGGTTGCTTGGAGCAGCCTGGGCTAGTGGAAGGTGTCCCTGCCCTCAGAACGAGATGAGCTGTGAGGTCCCTCCCAACCCAAACCATTTTGCGATTCCTCATCCTTTGGCTGAAGAAAAATGATGCAGCAACGACCCTTCAGGGAGGAGACTGCTGTGGGGATTAAATTCAGGCTGGAGAAGGATCCTTTGATGCCATCCTACGTGGATAGGGGGGTGAGATGCTGCTCTCCCCAGGGAGCAGACATGTGCCCTGGTCAGAGGTGCTGGGAGTTTCCTATTACTGATACAGAATAGCCTGATTTTGGTGACCAGGAGCTGCTGTGACGTGGGTTGGGGTTATCCAAACCCATCAGGGAGGTGACAGGCATGGAACAGGAGCTGGGGAAGCATCGAAGTGGGCATCAAGTCCCGCAGGGAGGAACTTCATTGGGGTCATTGTAGGGTCTGGGTTGATCAGGGATGGTGTTTGTGGACAGTCTGACGAGGGGAGGGGGATCAGATTGCCCCACCACGGGCATGAGGGATTGCATAGCCCAGGCCATGAAATCAGAGTGGGCAGAGAAAGTGATAATGGAAGGTTAGAGAAGGTGGAGTGGTGGGAAAAGGGGCCTCAGGGCACAGGGACCATCCTCCTTCCATTAAAGAGCTGGTCCAGAGGCTGGGATGTCACTCCTGGCTCTGTCCTAAATGCTCTTCACCTCCTCTGTGTACTGGGGAAGTGGTTGGGGTCTCTGACACCTCAGAATCAAAGTAATAGTGGAGAGTTCTCCTGTGTGAGCATCCCCTGTTTTCCCTCTGACTGGCAGGAGCCAACCCCAAAGCACAGGGGTGGTGGAATCCAAGGTATTTACCAGAACACCCACTCCCACAGACTTTGGTTCCCTTTAACAGCTCTGCAGATGGACTCAGGACCGGGATTTAGAGCTCAGGAGGGAGCACTGGGCGGGACAGACCCGGCTCAGCGTCAGGCGGACACCGGAGCGCTGCCCCCAAACCAGGAGGGAAACGTGGCTGGGGAAGGGAAGAGGGAAAATCGCTGTCCCAGCTGGAAGAGCAGCGGGTGGCAGTGCCAGCCTGCCCACAGCCCAGGCAGCTGCTGCCTTATCCCAGCTGGGAATGCTCTGCCAAGGCAGATGCCAGAACTCTCATAGCACGGGGGCAGCGGCCGGGTCAGTCGGGGAACGGGGAAACCCCAAACCTCCTTTTACTGAGTCAGTCTCAGCTTTCCCTTCTCCTGCTCTGGTTTTCGGGGATGTTGGGAACCCCAAGTCCCAAGTGCAGAACCCCTCCCTTTTTCTCCTCTCTCAGCCTTCCCCATCCCTCTCCACCTGCCAGGGACCCACTGGAGCGTGGCTGGAGTGGAGCTGCTGGCGCTTGGCTGCTCCCGGCACCGGCTGCTCCCGCTGGGCCGGGCAGATGGCAGGCAGGGCACGGCACACCCTGCAGAAAAACACACTGGAAAGCTTTTGTTTTGCTGCCTGGAGCTTCTCTTTCAGGTTTCCAGGGCATCGAGGGGGCTCTGGGAGCAGGAGCAGCCCTGGTGTGATGGGGGAAGTGTCTGGCCCTCCTCAGGGAGGGCTCAGGGTGGCAGGTGATCCCTTGGGTTGCTCCGGATGGATTTGGGCATCACCTGAGGAGGGGCTGGATTCAGCTTTGAGGCTTTTGGTGATGATCAGATATAAGTCCTGCAAAGTAGGAAAATAAAGCAGAAAAAAACTCCCAAGTGGGACAGAAAGCAGTGAGCAGGAAGGTGATGGAGATGGTGATGAGGAGGGAGAAACACAATCCACCCGAGTGGGTGCATAATTTATTCCCTCATTAGCTTTTAATGAGCCAGCTTTTTGTATCAAGTCTTCTGACGTCCTTGTAACAACTTCAGGCCTTTCTGTGGAGCATCACCCTCTCTGGGTGTTCCTGTGCCACTTGCCATGCAAACATGATTCTTGATATGTCCCGTGCCTTCGTTACCACCATTCAGCTGAACGAGTAATTAATGAGATTCCCCATTGCTGTGGTGTAACTGTAACCCCTGGGAAATTCCCACTGGGCCGTCCCACCTCTGAGGGGGCTGGGCAGGCATGGCCTTGGGTGGTGCTTGAAGGAGGAGGGAGGACTTTGGATTCCTGGTGGGTTGGGTTAAAGCAAAATGGCCAAGCTGATGATTTGGGCAAGCCATGGACCTTTCATGCTACCTCTTGCTGTCCATGATTTCTGCAGGACTGGATGATACACCTGATACTAAGATGCAGTCAGCTCACAGAGAGCAAGGAGAGGTGGAGAGGACCCATCCACGCTGGCCAACAAGGTGATGGCCACGCTGCAGCTCCAGGGTGCACCTTCCTCCCACCCTCCTCACCAGAAGATGATGGGCTTAACTCATCCCATGGATTCTTGGGATAAAGATGACCAGGACACTATACCACAGGCTTGGAAGGACCTACCAAAGCAACCAAAATCTCCTGTAGCTGGTGCTTGGTGGGAACGAGGTGGGTCTTTGCTATCGGGAAGACCCCTCTGTGACCTTGGAGCGTGTTCCCTCTTCCCCAGCGTCGCTGGTGCTGCTTGGAGCTGAATGCAGAGCTCCTTTGGGAGTTTTCCACAGGGTGGGATGCTCAGTGTCTCCTGAAAAATCCCTTGAAAGGCTCCCAGGGCCTCCCTGGGACATGGAGGGGCCACAAGTCAACCGGACCCCGCCGTTCTGAACTCATTTCCCTAAAGCCTTGCACAGGGAAGAGAGTGAGACCAGGACCCAAGCCCAAGGTTGTGCAGCTCCTGTTGAGGCAGGAACATGCCTTGGTGGGACCAAGAGCCTGGACCAAGACCCAAATATTGCCAGGCAAGAGCTGCTGGACTCTTTGGTGCCATTTGCTCTTAAAAAATAAATGCTGCTACTTAAAACAGGTGTTGCTGCCCAGTGGGAAAGTCTGAATGTGAAGGGAATCCCTCACCCCATGTGGGGATAAATCTGTTCCCAAGTACTAAAACTCTCCCTGGGAGGGTTCAGCTCAGGACCTGGGCTCTTGGGGGTCCAACCTCTGCCTTGGGGGTGGTTCCTGAGGAGTTTGGGGTTTTTTTGGGTCAGTTGTTACCCTGTGTGTGAAGATGCACCACAGCCCTGGTTGCAGCACTGTGTTTCCTTTAAAGCCAAGGACAGCAAGGCAAGGTAGGGTTTCACGAGGGTGTAGGATTTCTGAATCTGAGTCTTTCCTGAGACAAACTCTAATCCTCACCTGCGTGTCAGAGACGTGCAGGCACTTGCCACGTCCAGAACCACCCAGGATCCTCCTATTGCTCAGGGAAGGGCTGTCATTTGGGCTGGTTGAACAACACTGTAGGTGAGTGACTGGTTTTAATTGTATTTATTGTGCTTATAGAGGCCTGTAGGACATTGATGATATAATGGAAATATAACCATTATAGCCCCACACCCATGGAAAGTTCCCACCTACATTAAGCCACTTATTTTACTCTGTTATCACTAGGATATGAAAGAATCACCTGGATGAAAAGGTTTCCCTTTATCTCCAGCTAAATTGATGTTTGATTTTTATACCAAATTGTGCTGATACAGGATTTTTGGCTGCTCTTGGTTTTGTGCCTCAACCTACACAGAAACACTCTGTGCTTTGAGAATTTACAGCCTCTGTTTCTCTTCCAAGGCTTAAATAAAGTGGTCACTTTTAGCTGTGATCTTTTTAATGTGTTTGAATGATTTGCCAGGCTTCCATCAGAAAATCCTCAGCTGCTGCAAATCTGCTTAATGGCAACATGTGTGAGAAACGTTGGAGACCTCGAAACACTCCCAGAAAATCTTAGTTACCTTCAGCCTGCTCCAGTTAAACCACAAGGACCTGGGGTGAAAAGAGTTCATCAGGATTTCTGGCAGGCTGAAATCCAGGGTGCCAAGCAGTCACTGAAAGCCCAGAGCAGTGGCAGGAGTGTGTGTTCTGTGGGGATGAATTTAGTGGGGAGGGAATGGGATGCAGGTGTGATGATACCAGGTTCAGGCTGCAATAATAATAGTTCATGGGGTGTTTCTTTTTAGGTTGGTTTGGAAATGAAAGGGGTGTTTTAGGTGATCCTAGGGGAGGGAACGTGGGAATTCCCACTGACCCAGTGATGGGTCAGTGTGGGGAGGGTTAATGGGAATGCTGGGTCAAGACTCTGCTGGTTCAAGTGGGTTTGGTACAGTTTGTACTTAGTGGTGAAGGATAACGTGGTTTACAGAGAGTCTGGGTTTGGTTGTCTTCCCTGGTCTTGTGGGTCCTGCTGCTGGCTCAGTGCTCAGTGCTTGCACTGACAGCACTTCCAGCCTCCAAATTCTAATGGAAAAGTCCATAGAAAATGAGTCCCTGGGGATAAGGACTGGGGGGAAGAGCTCGGAGATGCCAGAGACTTTCCTTGGTTGGTGCTGGGTGCAAGTTCAATGAAGTGACACCCCAGATTTACTCCAGAACTGTTAGTTCCTGTTTGATGTGTGATGAATTCCATGGTCTCAGTGGGAGACAATCCCTGTAGAGACTCTAGAAATTTCCATCCAAGCAAAGCCTCAACCAAATAAAGCCTAATTTTTAATGGGGAAAAAATTATTGTCTTGCTGATTCCCAGAGAAATAGGGTTTGGTCTCCTTGGTTGAGCTGTTCCCTTTTACACCTCCCCCAATCCCAAAATGGCTTAAAACTGCAGTTTTTACAGCCAAGATTCTATGTCTGGGCCCCATGGCTGATTTTCCATTGCATCCCAAGATGGAATTCAGCTCATGGCATGCACAGGGAAAACTGGTTTTGCCATGGTTGTGTCAGGGCTGCCCCAGGTGTGGAGTAGGGACCAGGACCCCCCGAGCCGGGGTGGCCACACACCCCTCCAGGCTTGGCTGCCTTGGGCACGGCTGGGTCTGTTTTCAGAGGTCATGGGAAGGAGACTGGGAAACTGCTCCAAGGCAAAATCAGCTACAACTTGGCATGAGAAGCCTGAGGCTGCCAGGGAAAAAGGGCCCCAAGGGGCAGCTTTTTGCTTTGTCTGACCTTTGAGATGTCCTTTTCCCCACGGTTATGGGGAGATTTTCCAGACCTGAGTTTCCAGGATCTAGTTTTATTTTTATTTGCTTGGGTTTTCTCTGGAGCAGCACCTCTGGGAGACCCCAACTTTGCACACCCCCCACCCCCCCCCGTTCTTGGGATGCCCTGAAAGGACTCAGTGCAGGCTGAGCTCAATATTTTCCTTTCCCAATTCAACGGCACAGCATGGAAACCTGCCCCAATTACACAGGATGAAATAAAGCTTGAGGGAAAAGCTCAGCATCCCAAGATGCTGGCATGAGGATTCAGGATGCAGATGACTTTTGGAGGTCAGCCTAGAAATGCCCTGGCTGATGCTCCCCCAGTCCTCAGTGTTTGATCCCTTCCCAGGGTGTTACTCGTGGTTTTACCTTTGCTTGTGAAGTTTTGGGACAGGGAGGGAAGGGAGAGGTCCCTGCAGGGACTGGGGGGAGAAATGGAAAGGGAAATAGTTGTGGTTTCATTAAATCCTTCTGGAAAAGGAGGCAGGGAGCTGAAACATCTGCCTGGACAGGGGACAGTGGGTGATGGTCACACCCCAGTGGATCTTTGGAATAACAGAGGGATTGTGGCCACATCCAGAACCTCTGCCCAGCACCTGCCAGGGGCTGCTCCAGGCTGATTCCAAGGCACAGCCAGGATCCAGAGAGGTACATCAGGGTGTGACCCCCCACAGGGGTTCGTGGAGGAACAGGTTCCCCTGATCATATAAAAACAAGATGGAAAAAGCCCTCCGGGGAGGCAGTTCCTGCTCCTGAAGTTTCAGGACTTTGGGAATTCCTGCAATGGTGATCACAGGCTCCTGGGAATGGGGGATTTTCCTGTGTACCGGAGCAAAGCCAGGCCCAGATGTTGGAAAAGTGCCTGGACAAAGGGCCCCATGGCCAGCAGAGCCCTGGATGCCTCCACCTGGCTGGTTCCTTTGTGTGTGGCCGTGCTGGGGGTGGGAGCAATGGAGACCCCTGTTTTTCCAGCTGCTCCTTCCTTGGGTGCAAATGAAGACGGTCCCTGTGAGACCAGCACTGTCCCAGCAAGCAGCTCTGCATGGAGGGGACAGAAAAGGTCTCATCTGAGCATCACCTCCTCCTCCACTTCAGGCTGCTCCTTCCTCACCCTTGCTTGCAAAGCAAACACCGTGGGACACTTTTGGAGACCTATAAGAGGTGGCCTGAAGCCCTGGACGCCGCTGCTGCTGCCGGGCAGGGCCCAGCGAGGGAGCAAAGAACCCATTTCAGGCACAAGGAGAATGAGGGCAAGGAGTCCCACTGGGCTCACGTGGGTACTGGCATCGCCTTTCCGCAGGAGAGGCTGGAGCATCCCAGCCCTGCCCGGGAGAGGGGAAGGGGCAGCACGGCTGGGCAGCCCCCGCCTGGCACGGGGATGGGAACAGGGGGACTGGGGTCCCCTCGCGCTGGAGGAAGATGAGGACGATGCAAAAGCTGGGTTTGTTGCTCCCTTCTTGGTTTTGTTGTGGTGGGGTGAACTTGGGGGGCAGAGGAGAGGAGAGGCTGGTGAGTGGGTTTGGGGCAGTCGGGCGCTGTTTTCCTCTTTTTTTGGGGGGTATTTTTTGGGTCGTGGTGACCACAGGGGGAGTTTGGTTTGTCCTTGGAGGAAGAGGGAGGGTGAAGTGCTACTGATCCCAGAGGGTGAGCTGGATGAACCCTGGCTTTACCAGGAGTCAGAGGGTCTCACTGGCACCATCTCAATTACTTAATTACTCTTAATTATTTTTTGCTGCCGGGTCCAGATGACAATGTCTTCACCTGGGGGGGGTCTGTGGGGTTGCTGGGATGTGCTGGGGGGTGCCCTGATCTATGCACTGGCTCTGGCTCAGCGCGTGATGCCACAAACCCTGAGCGGCACCGGGCCCCCAAACCTGCCACGGGCTCCTCTTAGTGCTGCTGTTGCAAACCTTGGGATCGATGCAGGGACCCGTCTGACCCGATTAGCAGCTTCCTATTGCTTTCCATTTATCCCTTCGATCCGTTTTTGGCTCTGGCCACCCTCCTCCTCCAGGGTTTGCTGCCAGTGCGGATTTTGAGGGGGGACAAAGTCATTTGCTCACCCCCAGGAGCAGACTGAGGTTGCAGCTCTGAGCTCCTGCTGCTGGGTCAGGGAGGGGGCTTTGCCTCTATCCCAGCACTTTTGGACAGCCTGGGAAAGTTTCCCATCGATTTGGAATCGAGTTCTTTATCGTGTTACAGGGCAGTAAGCAGAAGGGGGGTGAGGGGTGGCTGCCTGCCCTGGCCCCAGCCAGGTGCCCGGGTGGAGCCAGGATGCTCAGGAGGGAAGAGCTCCCTCCAGGCACCCACTTCCTCACATCTCTTCAGGTCCAGGCTTATCAAAGCCCTTCCGAAGTGCTTTGTGTCCGTGTTTCATTCATCAGATGCTTCCTAAAGTGTGTCAAACCCTTGGCAGCACCAACTGCTCCGTGAATGCCGGCGCAGGGCAGACCTTCAGCCTCCAAAGGGCCATTTCAGCACCCCCAAAAGCCACCACAGCATCCTCAGAGTCAAAAACCCATTTCAGTCTTCCTGAATCAGGTTAAAATCCCGGCTCTGAGCCCTGAGCAGATGAGGAGGGCTCAGCTGCAGCCAAGCCTGGCCCAGACCCGGGTGGTCCCTATTCCTTCAGCCCTGCAGAGCTCATTTCATCCCACCTGGCTTTTCCATTTTCCTGCTGCCTGTGCTAGGCTGCAGCAGCTTTCAGGCACACCTGGTGTGGGACCACGTTGGCTCTGAGCAGGAACTCTCCCTCACTTGTTATTAAATTACGTCCTGACCCGGTTAATCCGTGGCTGATTAATTTCGGGCTCCATGGCTGGGTATAAGGAAGGTTTCATCTGTCTCGTGGTGTGTCCTGTGTGTCCCGGGCTCTCTGATAATCTGATTTTTTTCGTATAAAAAATTACGGGCGGAAAAATCAGACTGAGGTCTGAGAAGTTGGGAGGGTTGCAGGGCTCTGGCTGGGGGTGTTTTTGTGCCTGCTGTGGGGGTCAGCAGGGGTGGACACCTCCAGCCCAGTGCCAGGAATCCAGTTTGGGATCTTCCTTATGTACCTCTTTTCCCAGAGAGCTCCGTCCTGGCTGGATTAGCACAACACCAGATCTGGGGAAACTGAGGCACGGAGAGGGAAGTAGCTCATAGGAGTTGGTGGTGCCTGTTTCAGGCTGATCATTTATCTCCTGGTGCAACTGCATAGAATTCCAGACTGGTTTGGGTTGGAAGGGACACCTTCCACTAGCCCAGGTGGCTCCAAGCCCCATCCAATGGGGCCTTGGACCCTTCCAAGGATGGGGCAGCCACAGTTTCTCTGGCCAGCCTGTGCCAGACCTCCCCACCCTCACAGGGAAGGGTTTCTCCTCAATATCTCACCCAAACCTGCCCTCTGGCCGTTTAAAGAGAATGTGTGGGTTTAAATATTAAAAGTCCTACCCTGCTTTGCCTCAGACACACTTTAACCTCTGCTTTAAAAACAAAGGACTCTCACAACCAGCTGCTCCTGAGCCCTGGAATCCTTCATTGCCACGGGGCAGGAGAAACCCTGGGATTGATTGCCAAATATTTCAGTATGTTTTGGCCCCTTTTCCATTTCTCCACTATTCCCGTATTGAGGACTTCAGACCAGAGGCAG